ATTTTGGGAGCCCCCCACCCCCCAAAAAAAGTATTTAGGGTGGAGGGGAGAAGTTTCGGGGCTATGGCTTCGAGTTGCTCCAAACAACCCAATGTTGTTTACTCGTTACAATGTGTATCTATATGGAGTACAAAAAAAGGAACTTCTTTGCATGGGTGGAGTACAAAAAATTACTGGTATAGTCATATTTGTATCCAAGTATTATCCACCCTGCATAAAATATGGCATTGAGAATATAATTAAGATATGATTTGAGAAAGATAGATTACTTAAACACATCAAAACAACCTTGCCGTTCAGGGCCGGTCCTGGGGTTTTAGGGGCCCAGGGCGAAACTAAATGTCGGGGCCCCTTATAGAGTATGTCGCGGGGACCAACCTTATGGTTATTTCCCTCTTTTTTCGATCGTCCAGGGTTTAACCTTGCACCCGGTGCGGCACATAATTGTTTAAAAAAAATGAGGAGGCAGGATTAAAGGTGCGATCAAATATGACGTGTTTCCAAAAAAAGTGTTACCATATTATGCAAAAATCATGAATTGGTTTATTTCTTGGACGAGTGTTTGCATTTCTGCGCTACAAAAACATATGCTATGCAATCAGTTTAATCAGAGAAGCATATGTACATTACAATTAGCACCCAAGGTAGTGACTCTTAGACATGGTATGAAATTGGCATTTTGTATATGTTTTCTGCAAGCATCACACAAGATAAAATAGATATATCCTCAGTAATTAAAGTACCCGATAAATTTTATTAAAAATGAAATCAATAATATGCATCGCTAGGAAACCCAGTCAATCAATTATCAATGCCCTATTATACCGGTGAAAACGAAATATTGATTATTTTTTATAATCTATTTTTGATTATCATAGTAAAGTCGCTACTCGCTAGGGTAGGTACCTTCTAAAAAAATCAGCTTCTAGTCTCTCGGCGTAGGGATCGGTGATGGGGCATCTCCAGATCTCTGGCTGAAGCTTCACCGGGCACATGTGCGCTAGGTCGTCCGCCGTTGTACTTGCGGTGAGGGCGTGGCGAGGACTACCGATCCGGCGAGGGCGTGGCTTGACCCGGGAGGCGATAAGGCAAAAACGCATCCGCGGAAGCCGCCGCCATCGTGCCTCGTGGGTGAGGTCGATCGTAACAGATGCGTCGCTCTGTGCGCCATCGCTGCTGTTTTCTGAACTAGGCCGTGTGATTTCTGTACGCAGTATCTTGGGCCTGCATGGTCGTTTATTTTTCTTTCAGTGCACGTAGCAGCAGGCCAACGTAACACACATAAACACACATCCCTGGGTGGGGGCCCCTTCGTTCCGGGGGCCCGGGGCGGGCGCCCCCCCTGCCCCCCCTCAGGGCCGGGCCTATTGCCGTTAGAGCGATCCCGATTGCAAACTGTGGGTCGACGATTCCTGCCAACTCTTCTGGACGGCGAGGTTAGGGTTTCTCACCGTGCATAGGTAACGGCGAGATTTGGTGTCAGGTTCTTCAGATCAATTCAATGATTTAACGACGATGATTGTGGCTCTAAAGCGTTGCCCATTAGGAGCACATGCATGAAGACTTTAGTGCTATCGTTGACAAGATTAGGCCGACTCTGGTATGAGAGCAGCGACAACAACGGTCGTTCGGTGGTTCATAGACCTCGATGTAATTTTTATTATGTTTGAGGTGCTTTGTAACAAAAAAAAAACTCGCATTATAGTTTTCCCCACATTTTTACATGCTCAGACTTTGACAAAACTTGAAAAAATCATAACAGCGCTTGCACGTACACTATCCAACAGAAAGGGCCCATGCATTTGGTGCTTACATACCAGTTCACTGGAAAGGCTCCATGCCACTACCATGTAGAAATATCAGATCAATAGATCATATTATCCAGCGAAAATCCGCATTTGGTACTCATGCTGAAGACAACAAGAACAGCACACATCGGCTTAAGGAATGGAACCTCTGCTATTAGATTTAGCATCTACAAAGATGCCTTACACCATCTATGACCCGACAGCATTTCCATACCCTGGGTTAAGAAATGTCGTATATCTAACATGGACTACCGGAAAAAAAAATCTCAAAATACGCAGGTACAGATAAAAAGTAATGAATCATTCTATCACTGCAACTTTCTCTAATTCACCTCCAGGTGTCTCCTGAAACAGCTTTCCGCGCCAACTAGCAAGGCATCCAAGCAAACGTGTCGTGGAGAAAAGGAACGTGCAAGACCAATCGCTCGATCGGCGGAGCTTCCAAAGAGGGTCTTCTCGTAGTTCTCGGACTATCCAGGAGGAAGATAATAGGATGAAGTTTGCTACCTCAACCGACTCAAAACTTTAGAAAACTGTGGTCATCTGCTACTGAGACCGCCTGTTTGTGTCCGGGTTACATGGGAGATGCGTGATGAAGGGATCAATGGGGCTTCCTCGTCAACAGCTGCAGCTTCTGTTGCCATACTTCCAACTGCCACACCTACAACAACAGTTTCATCAATACTGTCAATGGAACTGTCGGGTTTGTATATGTTGACAACCTTCTTCTCCTGAAAGAGGAAAAGGAATGTATCAGAGACTGAAGGCAACCATTTCATGACCGGAAGGACAGCAGAACGCTTATATAATGCAACTTGACATCCCCGAGAGACAAACTCTTAAACTAGTATCCGTGGATTAATAAGGTGTTTGTGACCAGATGAGAACCGGAGTGACATACGCTACAAATTGGAACCGTATGTTCTATCAACTTTAGTGGAAGCTAAGCAAAGAAACAGCATGCCAGGCATGTCTGACACTAAGATGGTCGCTGTCAGGTACTCAGATGATTGTAAAAGTTTGTTAGATGATAGAACAAGGATAAGCTCAAGAAATAGGAGATAAAAAAGGCATGTGGTGAGAAAACATAGGAATAAGAATAGTCATCACTGGGGAGATAAAAAAAGCCTTTTACTAAATGGTGAGAAAACATAGGAATAAGAATAGTCATCTCTAGTCCACAACCATGATGTCCTGTCTGACAACACGATACACATAGGCAGGGCAAAACAATTGAATTTTTGTACTAGAGGTGTCATACGCCACAACGAATAAAAGTAGGGAGAAGGAAAGAAGAAAAATATATATGAAAAATGCAACAATAATGCCCTCTGAAGTAGTGATACATCAAAGGCTTCTCTTGATGACATTGTACAATGGACGACCTAAAAAGGCTAAAGAAAATTAAATATCGAAACTACAGTGTGATCTGTACACTAACCTTGGTAGCTCTATCAGCAGTGTTATCAATTGGAAGTTGGATTGCTGTCACATCTTTCATCTTCAAATAATTGTACATGACAACGCCAGAGAGCGCTACACATTAAATTACTACAAGTTAGGAGTTTGTTCGCAAAATATATATTCAAAACAGGCATACCAACTTGTTATTACAAGATCCATTTGCAAACTCGACGGAAACTGAATGCATAATAATTACCAACGGCATATCCAATTATGTTGAGGCTTGTAATAGTAGATTCAGGAAAGATAACGGTCGAGAGGGCAATAAGTATCCAGTCCTTTAGAACTCCTGCAACTCTGACAGTGACTGCTCCTGTCCTTCCAATAACTAGGAATATGGATATGTTTAACGCAAATGCAGCAAGTGCATTCGAGAAAAATATCCAATAATTGAACTGAATTGGAGAGATGTCCATTTCTGGCTTTTCCAGTAAATACCATGGACCAAATAGGAAGATGAAACTGCATGAAAGAATAATACATTAGATAAATTACATCTTAGAATAAATGTGGAAGACTAAAGCATTTAAGAGACATACAGAACATGCAATATTTAGTTATAATAACCTCAAATGGAAATCATAAAGGCTGTGAAGGAATGTCAACAAAAGATATGCCCACAGCATGTTTTAAAAAGAAACAGCATTGAGCTAGTTATTAGTATTGCCAAACTCTGCTTGTTTTACTTATAGGATAGTGCATATGGTTTGGTTTCTAGTAATACAAAGAAGCTCTTCTGGAATAAACTGAGAGAGATCATACTTAATTAAATCATTATGAGCAAATGGTATTCTAAAGCATGAAAAGGTATGACACTCGTAAGTCATAACAATCGTGAGAAGTCAAATGTTTCTAGATGCATATGTACTTCACAAAGTATAGGATTTCAGCTAACTAGGCTTACGACAAACTTGACTCGACACTCAACTAAACTAGACTTCTTGACTGAAGTGGCAATGCTAAGCAACGGCCAATGGGTTGTAGATGGCTAAACAGAATTTATGGTTCATGCTTAAAAAACAAATATTCCTTGTAAAGTACATTTGACAATAACTTCATGGATATTAATCTAGTACCAAAACATTGTAAAGTAGAGTACTTTATAATGAGTAAAATAGTCATCTAATATAACTTAAGTCCATCAATATATGCATATGATTCTTTGGTTAACATATAGGCAACATATGTTATGAACCTAAATTCACCAATGAACATGAAGACTTCAGTAATATGACCAGCCAAATATAGCAACTTAATTAATTTTGACAACTCATTTGAACTGAGTCCAGGAAAAAAGTACGCAACAGATGTTTGCTAGTAACAACCTCATATAAGAGTCCTAGCATCATATAAAAAAGTCCTAGTGAAAGTTGTCATGAACAGATGAACCTACCAAATGGGCTTGTTGCATAATGCATGTGTATGTCTACCAGAAACATTACATAATTACAGAGTTTGAACATATGCCAAATAGGATTATATATGTATTTTGATATGCCTTTTGGGAACTACTGATTCGGTTCAGAATATACATACTAAAACCAATAAAAATAGCGTGTTCTAGTTTATTTTTACAAACATATATTACAAATGTAGTTGTGTGGCCTCAATCTCATGTCAAGTTGTCATCTCTATTCCTTAAGTCGGCATCCCTATCCAATCATCTATTAAGCATTAAGAGCATTTAAAATCACTGGCTCATTAGTAGCACTTAAGAGAATTTAAGAAAATGTCAGTTGTCATTTTTCCAAGTATCCTGTTAGATAGAAATGATAATTCACATATTTTTGTACAAGGATTCTGCAAGAGAGAATATAATAAGCAAGCAACTATTCAGAATTTTAGATGAAGTATCTGGTACCTGCAAGGCGCTATGTAATACAGACTTGTAATAGGATTCAGGGTTAATCCCTTTTTTTGGAGGAGGACCTGTGTCAGGACCAGCCTGAGGGCTTCCGCAACAATGCCAGTTACTTGGTATAATGTTCCTATTACATTAAAATGAATCTCCCCATATGATGAAACTACAACACCAACACTGACCAGCACCATGTTCAAGAAAAGGTCCCGTCTTAATTTGTCAGTACCACATAGAACGGCCATTATAAATGTCGCCACAGGCACTGCAATTCGAATTAATTCCAATCAGTACCATATCATAACGACAATATAAGGAAGCTGCACAGTAAACTCACTCAAAGCCTTGAGCATTTGAATGAAGGCCACTGAAATGTATAAGTATGCTGTATTTCCGAACCTGTAAAATATAAAACAAAAATCAATAACGTTTTGCATGAATATTATGCGAGGGAGGGACATGCTGCGAACACCTGAGTTAAGACAACTCTAAAGAAAAGTAACAAGCTGCCATTCAGTGGATAATAAGTACTCTATGGAGCTTGAGAAGGGAAGTAGTAAATTAACTAAGTTATAAATGGTATAGAATGTTCAATTTGTAAACATAACCAGATTAAGTCAAAGGCTTAATGCCTGTGTAGAAAGCACTCCTTTGTCCATATAGCAACCCATGTCAACTAAGATTGCTATTGCATTAAGCAATTTCACATGATAAGGAAGTTGCATCATCCAATTCCAAGCAACAGGTATATCAGGCAAATAGTGCAATAAGACAGTCCAACGCAAAGAACATAGCAGCACCTGCTAGGTTTGCAAACAACTTCAACACAAACACATAATCATTTCAAGGCAAACAATTCAGTTGATACAAACACCAATGTTGCAAGTATGCCTCTGTGCAATATTAATAGTCGAAATTAGTTTAAGATGCTTCACCATTTTAGGCATATATGCATTCACATACTACATGTCTGCATCGGCTTGCCTTTGCATGTAGGGATATTGTAAAGAAGCCTAGAGAAATAAAAAGAGATTGGAATAAAATTTCATATTGTCTTCAATCAGCTTACCAAAGACTTGACGCAAAGAAGGCACTAATGGGAATTACAGATGTGGCATATCTGCATCAGGGAGGACACAAATTACTATTATTCAGCTTTATACAATGAAGGAACAAAAATGAATGCTCAGCTTTATACAATGAAGGAAGAAAATTGAATGCTCAGCTTTATACAATGAAGGAAGAAAATTGAATGCTCAGCTTTATACAATGAAGGAACAAAAATGAATGCTCTTACATTTGGAAAGTCATCTTGACAGGTGCAACAACCTGGAAAACCAAAATACAAGTGACTCCATTAGCTCATCTAGGAAAAACAAAATGGCGTCACTAGAAAAACTAACGGTTCAATTACAGCTAGTAGCCCAAGCTTTGCATATGTTCTTGCAAGAACAATTGCTGCGTGAGAATATTATTGATTTACAAGTCGTTCTGTTGAAGCAGGCCCACCATTATTCATTAAATAAGAGACGAGATAGTATTGTACAAGGAAAATCGAAGGCTCTAACAGGGAAGTGGCATGGAGAAGCATACCTTGAAAACACGGACTAGGAAGAACGCCACGACTCCAGAAAATGACATGTGAATCATTGTGAGAGTAATGGGAAAGGGGAATTTGAAGTACTTAGGAGATAGCACCCACTGTAAAAATAAACAGATTTTTTTTAGAAAAACATACATACATCATAATCAAAGTCACGTACATAAGAAAGCACATAATACCAAAAACGAAAGGGGTTAAAGAACGCAATGCTTTGGAGTTTGGATCTGCACTATCAGCATGCGAATAGAAGATTCCTCAAATGGTCAACCCTTGGAGCTAGTACATTATACTACAGGTTACCGACAGTGTAATGCAGCAAAACCTTGATTCACCAAACCATAAGCCAGAAACCCCTACAGAGCACCAAATCGGCATTGTAACAGACCGCGCACCAAATCGGCAATCAAGGAAGCATGCATTCACACTAGAGCTATACCAAACTTAATCCGCACTACACCTGAAACCGTCGACGGGAAATGAAATACTAGTACTATGTGAACGAAATCGTGAACGGGACGAATGCTAGCTCATCGTGACGTCGTCACTTGCTCCACTCCGCCGCACAGTGGGACTGGGCGCACACGGTGGTTTCCGAGCGGTGAAGCCGGCGCTGGGGAGGGGGAGGGAGAGGGAGGCCGTACTTTGTTGAAGAGGATGACCCCCGACGAGAGGCAGATGTAGATGAGCAGGTAGAGGTAGGTGAGCAGGAGCTGCCTGCTGATCATCACCATCGCCGTACGCGCCGCGGCGGCGCCCTCCCCCCGCGCGCGGGGTGGGTGCGGCGCCTCGCGTCCTTCAGGGGGCGGGGCGGGGCGGGGTCGCTCGTCCGCGCGCAATGGCGGCGGCCGGGGGCGCGGCGGACCTGCGCCGGTGCGGCGGCGAGGGGGCGGGCGATCTGGCGCGCGCGTACCGCCGCTCGCGGTGGCGGTGCGGAGATTGGGAAGGAGGGCAGCGAGGAGGGGCGGAAATGGGATGCTTTGGAGAAGTCGGTGGGTTTTCTGCAAAAGGTGAGTGAGCGGAATGCCAGCAGTGGAGCGGGGCCTCGCTGCTTTTTTATGGGGTGGTTTTCGCTTATTTTATTGAAACGAGGGAGCGCAAAAAAAAAAAGAGAGGCGATTTTCTTATTTATTTTTATTAGAACGAGGCGGAATCTTTGGGTGCAAGCGTGCCAGCGAAGTCTGGAAGCAGCGGGTCTCTTGGAGCTCATTAACAAAGCGGCCTGCTATGACCGATCAGGCCCAGTTAACACGAGTCAACTTTTCTCAAAAAAAAAAAAAAGTTAACACGAGTCAACTGCTACCCCTGAGCTCAGGGTGCTTCTTTGGCATGTTTAGGGGCAGCATCGTCAATTGACAAAGGGCGAGACCACTCAGCCAACTCGAAGAATGCTGTACTCAGATTTGAATGCGGTGGTTTATAGTTGCTGCAACTTGGTTCGTCCCCTAGTTTTTTTTTTAAAAATGGTTCGTCCCCAAGTTGATTTTAACAAAACGAGGCGGAATCTTTTGGGTGCAAGCGTGTCGGTGAAGTCTGGAAACAGCTAGGTATCTTGGAGTTCGTTAACAAAGCAAACCTGCTATGACCGGTCAGACTCAAGTTACACATGGGTCAAAAACAACGCAGAGTCAACTGCTTGCTGACAATGCGGAGAAGAAACTCAGGCCATTTTCGGTTCACGGGAATTTTGTATGAATTTCAATGGGTAGGAGTTTTGTAGGGAGAATTCGTTTGAAGTCATTTGATTTGTAGAAATCGAGTCTCATTCCTATGTAGGGTAGAAACAAATTCTTCTCATTTAAAAGAAAAGAAATATTTGTCTAGACTCAATGAAATGAATTCCTATCATATGAACCAAATCACATCGTTTTTTATAGGAATTGAAATACTTGTCATCTCACTTCCTGTGATTTTCCTATTCTCATGATATTCCTATCCTATAAATCAAAGGAGGCCTCACAGATGATGTGCTTAATTATAATTGTTGCTTCTTGGTATGTTTGGGGGCAGCGTCATCATTTGACAAACGGGCGAGCCCGTTCAACTGGTGGAAAGAACAACAACTTATGTCAGGCTTTAGCCACAAACTTCATGCGAGCAACACGCGCTAAGATTGAGAGGAAGAAGGAAGATCAAAATGGATAAAGCCTATGCACGAGTCTTTGAAAGTCAATGTCGATGTTTCGTTTCATGAGGAGGAATTGACAAGGCTATTGGAGCAATACTCGTAGATGAATGGAGGTAGTTGATGATAAAGGGTTTCCCCCCGCTTTATATATAAAGCAAACGTCTGATACAACCAGCCTGCCCGGGGCCACGGCACAGAGAAGCCCAAAATGAAAGACAAGAAGAAAAAAAAGGAGAAAAAAAATGTTAACACCGGCAGATCAACGGAGAAAGGAAGCCCGGCAATCGCTGCACCCTCCGAAGAAGTACCACCACGCTCCCAACATCCCGAAGCGTCACGCACCAAGCAACACCTTCAGGAAGGGATGAGACGGCATCGTCATTGTTGCACGAACAAGTTCTAGGGTTTCCCCCGGTACACGGGGGATGGTGGGGAAGAAATACACCCGACGCCCCTCGGGAAGGACCGACGGCGCCCTCAGGCGTCACCACATCGGTGCCGGACAAGCCGACAGGGATTTCACCTGATCCACGACCACCACCACCACCACAGGTGCTTCAAAATGCACCACCCCATCAGCCGCCCACCAGCTTGTGCCACCACGGCTACCGGACAACCCTCGTCGCCTCACTGGAGCTACCAACACGAGACCTAGCAAGGGAAAGGCGACATCGGCCACGAGAGCGAGCACACCTCGACTGGAAGGAGGGGACAACATCCACCGTCGTAGTGTAGCCGACCGGACGCGGTGACGAGGACTTGTCGGGCCCTGATGGCTCGGCCGGGTCCACATGGACCTAGACAGTCCTGCCACCACGCTGCAGCTCGCCGATCGACGGAGTCCTCACCGCCCACAGACCGCCGCCACGTCTCCACCACTAGGAAGCACCGCTGCCGAACGCCGAGCCACCGGCCCGCCCCAACCCAGATGGGGTCCAAATGGGCCCAAATATGGGCTGGACGGGTGCCGCCAGCCACCAGCGCCACTGCACTGCCCCACGGCCAATGGCCGCACCATCGCGTCGTGAGCACTATGGCACGCAGCAGCAGCACCGCCGAGCCACACTAACGCCGGCCAAAGCACACCGCTGCCAGCCACCACCACCCGAGCAAGGGGGCCCGCGCGCGGGGAAGGGCTGGCCCGCCGCCGCCAGCACCACGCGGGCAGGGCCCGACGGCGGGGGGGGGGAGGGAAGTGAAGGAAATATGCCCTATAGGCAATAATAAAGTTATTATTTATTTCCTTATTTCATGATAAGTGTTTATTATTCATGCTAGAATTGTATTAATCGGAAACTTAGTACATGTGTGAATACATAGACAAAACATAGTGTCCCTTGTATGCCTCTACTTGACTAGCTCGTTAATCAGAGATGGTTATGTTTCCTAACTATAGACATGTGTTGTCATTTGATGAACGGGATCACATCATTAGGAGAATGATGTGATGGACATGACCCATCCATTAGCTTAGCATTATGATCGTTACAGTTTAATTGCTACTGCTTTCTTCATGACTTATACATGTTCCTCAGACTATGAGTTTATGCAACTCCCGAATACCGGAGGAACACCTTGTGTGCTATCAAACGTCACAACATAACTGGGTGATTATAAAGATGCTCTACAGGTGTCTCCGAAGGTATTTGTTGGGTTGGCATAGATCGAAATTAGGATTTGTCACTCCGTATTTTGGAGATGTATCTCTGGGGCCTCTGGGTAATGCTCATCACTATAAGCCTTGCGAGCAATGTGACTAATGAGTTAGTTGCGGGATAAAGCATTGCGGAACGAGTAAAGAGACTTGCGGGTAACGAGATTGAACTAGGTATGATGATACCGACGATCGAATCTCGGGCAAGTAACATACCAATGACAAAGGGAACAACGTATGTTGTTATGCGGTTTGACCGATAAAGATCTTCGTAGAATATGTAGGAGCCAATATGAGCATCCAGGTTCCGCAATTGGTTATTGATCAAAAATGTGTCTCGATCATGTCTACATAGTTCTCGAACCCGTAGGGTCCGCACGCTTAACGTTCGATGATGATTTGTATTATGAGCTATGTGTTTTGATGACCAAAGTTTGTTTGGAGTCCCGGATGAGATCATGGACGTTACGAGGAGTCTCAAAATGGTCGAGATGTAAAGATCGATATATTGGAAGGCTATATTCGGACATCGGAAAGGTTCCGAGTGATTCGGGTATTTTTTAAAGTACCCGGGTGTTACCAGAATTCACCGGGAGAAGTAATGGGCCTTATTGGGCCATACGGGAAAGGAGGAGGCAGGCCAAAGGGGAGGTGGCGCCTCCCCCTCCCATGGGTCCGAATTGGACTAGGGGAAGGGGCGGCGCCCACCTTGCCCTTTCCTACTCCCTCTTTCTTTCCTTCTCTCCTACTCCTAAAAGGGAAAGGATTCCTACTAGAACTTGGAAGTCCTAGTAGGACTCCATACACTTGGCGCGCCCCTAGGGGGCCGGTTTCTCTCCCTCCCTCCATTATATACAAGGGCAGGGGGCACCTCAAAGAAAAACAAGTTTCTCTTAACCGTTGATACGTCTCCAGCGTATCTATAATTTTTGATTGTTCCATGCTATTATATTACCTGTTTTGGATGTTTATGGGCTTTACTTTACACTTTTATATCATTTTTGGGACTAACCTACTAACCAGAGGCACAACCCGAATTGCTATTTTTTTTTGCCAATTTCAGTGTTTCGAAGAAAAGGAATATCAAATAGAGTCCAAACGGGATGAAACCTTCGGGAACGATCTTTTTGGAACAAATGCCAACCTGAAGACTTGGAGTGGACGTCAAGCAACAAACGAGGCGGCCACGAGGGTGCCCGACGCGCCCTGTAAGGGTGGGCGCCCCCCACCCTCATGGGCCCCTGGATTGTCCACCAACGTACTTCTTCCTCCTATATATACACCCGTACCCTGAAGCCATCAGAGCGACCACGAAAACCTAATTCCACCACCGCAACCTTCTGTATCCACGAGATCCCATCTTGGAGCCGCCGCCGGTGCTTCAACGGAGGGGGAATCCACCATGGAGGGCATCTGCATCATCTCCAAGGCCTCTCCGATGAGTTGTGAGTAGTTTACCACAGACCTTCGGGTCCATAGTTATTAGCTAGATGGCTTTTTCTCTCTCTTTGATTCTCAATACAAAGTTCTCCTTCCTCTTCTTGGAGATCTATTTGATGTAACTCTTTTTGCGGTGTGTTTGTCGAGATCCAATGAATTGTGGGTTTATGATCAAGTTTATCTATGAGAAATATTTGAATCTCCTCTGAATTCTTTTATGTATGATTGGTTATCTTTGCAAGTCTCTTTGAATTATCAGTTTGGTTTGGCCTACTAGATTGATCTTTCTTGCCATGGGAGAAGTGCTTAGCTTTGGGTTCAATCTTGTGGTGTCCTTTCCCAGTGACCGTAGGGGCAGCAAGACACGTATTGTATTGTTGCCATCGAGGATAAAAAGATGGGGTTTATATCATATTGCATGAGTTTATCCCTCCACATCATGTCATCTTGCTTAATGCGTTACTCTGTTCTTATGAACTTAATACTCTAGATGCAGGTAGGAGTCGGTCGAT